TCTTTGCTATAATAATTTTCTAATTATTATTAACAAACCAAAAAAAATCTCGAAACTAATGTTAGCTTTTAATATCAACAAATTGTGATTCACAGTTTTGTCACAACTTACCGGGAAGTCTCTATTCGAACTTACTAATTTGAAAAAAAAATAAAATTGATAAGTTGTTTTAGTTGTTTATTTTTTGCTAACCATTTCTTCCAACAATCTGCAGTACTTATTATGGTCTGTTATAGGTAGACCTGTTTTGTATTCTTATGAAGCAGAATTTATTTAAAAACGTTCACACTGAAAGAGGTATCTGGGCCATAAAGAGTTAGATTCACTTTATGCATAAAATGGCCCTGTAGAAATAATACAATACATTTGACTAACACTCGATTTCCTTTGTCAAACATCAATATAAAGTAGAGACTCAGTGCTTTCATTTTCTATAAAAAAAATTCCCTGAAAGTCCAGTTATTGGAAAATAGGCTTTGTGAAATTACAATGTCCTTGAATTTTGAAGAAAACAGGATATTTCAGTACTTTCAACTAAGAATTAAATTTATATATGCGTGCCCCTCGATCTAAAAAATGAAACGTGTTTTGTAATCTTCAGACACTGTTCTATCATTATATACTTGCACATTTTAGATCAGAAATTGCGCTGTACACGAAATATTGAAAATAGCTTAAAACTTTTGCCGTTTCTGTAGAAAATTTCAGGATGAAGGAAAATGACGCTATTCATGACGTCATAATGCATTGACCAGCCAGAACATTAGGTCATTTTTATAGATATGCAGTCGTCAAGTGTCTTAATGATATTTAACCCATTGTTAACTAAAACTAAGCAGATTCATTTTTTTTTTTCAGAAAAACATAGGGCTAAAACGGGCCCTGAGTGAACCTTGTTCTTTGACATTTAGATTCTATGTATTAAAAATTTTCATTTTCAATCCTACATCGAATTCATATACTAGAAAAAGAAAAAAAAAATACAGAGTCTGACACATCTGCTTCATATCAGGATGTTTTATTAGAAAAAAGCTTAATAAACGTGATGACTTTTCTCTAGTCAACTTCCTTTATGAGCAATATACATGTACATGTACCATTATCATATGCATATGGGGTTAACATGTATGTCTCCAAGTTGATTCGATATGCAAAGCGTGTTCTACGTGCTACACCTTTATCATTTCAGGTTAAAAATAAGTTGACGATATAAGGATATCAACAATCTCGCTTAAATTCCATATTAAGCGAGTCTTTGTTCGATACAATGACCTTCTTTGCAAACACATTCTCACGTTGAGTCGAAGTTGACTGACATTTTCATACAACTTAGGTCATTATTGTTACACTGGGAGGTCTATAGATTTTTTTCGATCACCCTAACATAACAAGAGGCCCATGAGCCTTATGGTTCATCTGAGAATTTTGCTGCGAAAAAGCAGAAATCAGTTCAGTGTAAAAACTGGAAGGGGGATGAATTGAACAAACTTGAATCTACACTACCTGAAGGTCACCCGCGTGGCGCAGTGGTTAGAGTCTCTGCTCTAGAGTCGCGGAGTAAGGAGCGGGTTCGAATCTACTGCGGGACGTGGGGACCGGTCCTTCGGATGAGACCGTATAAACCGAGGTCCCGTGTCGTAGTAGGTGTTGGCACTAAAAACTGCTCAATGGCCCTGAGTGCCGAGTATAGGTATAAATTTGTAGCCCTCGATCGGCAAGTGGTGGCGTCTCCATACGAGTGAAAAATTCTCGAGAGGGGCGTAAAACAACAAACAAACACTACATGAAGACGATTCTACATTTCTGACTAATCCTGGCTCTTGGTAGTTTTTTCGGGATTTTTTCCAATACGTTTGATCATCTTTTGTAGCCTTGTCCTTCCCCCGGGGACATGATATGAACATAATTGAATCTACACTTACCCGATGATGCTTCTAAATTAATATCACTAATCATTGCTTTGCTCTCTGTGAGAAGAAAATTTTTATTGATATATCTTTAGTATTCCTTTCTATAAATTTGATCCCATGTCGTTGTCCATCTCTACCCCTGGAAGGTCATGATTTGATCAAATTTGAATAAACATTACATGAGAATGCTTCTATATTGATAATACTTATCATGACTTTACTGTTCTTGAGAAGATTTTTAAAGATTATTCCTATGCATTCCTATGCAAAAATTTGATCACCCATTGTGGCTTTACACTAATTCTAGGTTTCTTTATTTGAACTAGCTATATCTACAGTTCTAGAGGATGCTACCATATAAATATGACCAATCATGGCTTTGCTGCCTTTGAGAAGGAGTTTTTGAAATATTTTTTCCTGTGTATTCATTTGTCGAATTTTAATCGCCCATGGTGGCCCCACACTAACTCGAGGGGTCATGTTTTTGAAAAAAAAATTGAATCTTCACTTCATGAGGATGTTTCCATATAAATATGACTATTGATGGAATTGCTGTTCTTGAGAAGTAGATTTTTAAAGAAATTCAAAATGTTTCTAACTCCTTTTTTGTTAGATGGGAAATTATCAAAAATCAGAAGTATTATCGCAAATCACTTTTTTCTTTTCTTTTTTTCCCCTTTCTTTTCTTTTTTTTTTTTAATTTTTGATTGTTAGAAAATTTACTTGGTTGAGCTCCTTATTTGCTAAGTTGAGCCCCATTCTCCTTTATTTGTGAGTACACCTTTGCATCAAAAATATATTTCTCTTATTTTTAGAGCATATCCCCGGGAATAAAAAAAAAACTACATTTCACTTAGAGTGTATGCTGCTAGTAGTGATGTTTTGATGGCTACTTCTACTGTAGGAACAGGGTATTGCGAGCACAATTGAAGGACAATGATTAGTTAACAGACTGAATCAAGATACATTTGAAAATGAAAAAAAGAAAAAAATCTAGATACATGTAGGAGAAAGAAAAGAATCAGGTCATGTTGCTCTCAAGAAATGAGGCATAAACTGCATATGTTTGTAATATATGTATTATTCATTTATGTTGTAGTGGTTGCTTTTAAAACCGATCACACCTACCATTTGTCTAAACTTAATAATTTGTTCACCAAATTATAGTTGATGAAATTTGTATTTCTCTAATGTCCCATTGTTGTTATACTTTTTTTCATTTTCAATACGTACAAAAGAAATCAATTCAAAATGAAAACCAGGCCAATGGGCCACATCGCTCACCTAAGCACATTGGCTAGGAAAAGGCACAAATCAGTTCAGCATTGAAAAGTTTACATGGGGAGGGTGGCAAACGTTAATTTTACACTTCCTGAAGATGCTTCCATTTCAATTTTACTAATGGCTTTTCTCTTCTTGAGCAGGTTTTAAGTTTCAACTTTTTTGGCCCAGTGGATCTTGAGAAGATTTTTGAAAGATACCACCAAATTTTCACTATTTCTGAATTATTTCCCCTTAAAAAAGGGTGTGGTCCTTTTTTTGAACAAATTTGAATTCCCTTTACATAAGAATGCTTTGTGGAAAGTTGAATTGTAATTGGTCCTGTGGTTCTAGAAAAAACGTCGAAAATGTGAAAAGTTCACAGACGGACGGACAGACAAACGGACAGACAGGCGGACTACAGACAAAATGTGATCAGAAAAGCTCACTTGAGCTTTCAGCTCACTTGAGCTAAAACTAGATCTGAGTGCCTTGCCGAAATGAATGTACACGTAATTTAAAAAAAAACAAAACGCCTGAATATCAATTCTAATTACTGTCCTTCTTCTTTTGCATTTCATAGATTAAATACATCAAGCTAAAAAAAAAAATAAATAAAACTCAATGGCATATAAGGAGAGGTACTGAATATTTTCCAAGATGTACATAGTCTGATCTAATAACCGCAATACTGTTCAATGATTTTCGGTAATATAGCTGTGATACGACTTTTATATGAAATCAAACAAGGCACAAGATGATGATTTGGACATAGATGATCCAGAAGTATATAATGATAATTAACTTCTTAAGGTGTGGCAATGTCCTTGTTCCAATGCCCTCTATAAACCTTCAAAATTTACATACGCAGAACTTTTCAAATGATCTTGATCTTCAAATTATTACTTTGATTTGTAGTCATAACTCAACAGTTTGAAAAAAAATGTAAACTATAAAGGCATTGGCTTGATAAATAACACTTAAGGTTCATTGGTTTTGACCTCCTAGGGTCAACATATGTGGCCCTGATAACCAAATAATCATAATAAATCAAAACTCTAATGTCATACAATCTTTTAAATCATTAATACACTGACCCTGACTTTTGAGATTAGACCTTGAATCCTAGTTATGAAAAATCAGCTTTGGTCTGTAAACAAATACTGAGTAGTTAACCATGCGTGCCAAGCGAACCTTTGATTGATAAGTACTGTTTCAAATTTAGAGGGAGCAGCTTGTGTATGATATTCTTTCCACTTCAATGAACATTCTACGTTTAACCCATTTTGTGTTCTTTTAAAAGATTCTCCATATAGGAAATCATTTGGTCAGGGACTGATTGTAATTCTTCCTATAATTGAAGACTGGGATAAATGGTAATTCTCGCGCAGTCAATAATCAATGAAATTTATTGTGTGAAATATCAAGTCCATAACTGTGGTAAACTTCATAAAATGGTAACTTTTTCCCAGTTGATTGAGTTTATTTTCCCTATAGTCATTTCCCCAAAAGTAAAGAAACATAGATGTAAATGAATAACTTGCTGATATTTCGATGTATTATAAAAAACAGACTTTTAGTTGATTACAAGTACAAGAAACCAGTCATATCATGATTTCAATGTATAATAAATTCCTCAAAATTACCAAATTTTCCGATACGGCCTCGTCACAAAAAGTGGTGTTATAGCCCTGAATTCAAATAGTCAATTGAACAACTTCACGTTTTGTGTTAAGTAGAAGGTCGATTGATAAAAAAAACATTGTGAAAAATAACATATGTTTTGACGATACATGTAGTATCACATTTATAACTCTATGATAAACTCACGTTTTGAAGATATTTCCTCTGCTATATCATTATTGCCAATGGATGCATGCAATATGGCGTCTATACCAAGCCTTCTTATTAATAACTCTTCCGTCCCCTTTGGTAGGTACATACAGCGTTCTGTCACATTTCTTTTGTACCTCAATGGGCGCGCATATTCAAATAGTGAGTCCACTGAGGATAGATTTAGGAAGTTCTCGTAATCTTCCTTACTTTCTAAGCAATTCAAAACAAAGTATCCCATCACCTGATGTCGGACCTCCTCTGATACAAAGTACAGATATTTGTTCTCTCTATCTACAGTTAACAATATGTCACAGTGTTCTAATTCCTTTAGGAGGACCAGATCTTCGTCGGCTCTTTCCTCCTTAACATCTTGCAATGATATAAATGTTTGTTGAATTTCTTTTCGCTTTTCCTCCCATGGCATATTTACACAAACGGAATAGCTCTCTGACATTAGTATGGATATCAATATACTCCATTTTTTCTTTGAAAAATGCATTTCCATTAATTCTGTAATAAATCGGATAAAAAGGATTATTTTCAAGAACAGTCATTACTTTTTCTAAAAAGTATACATGGCATTGTATGTTCAAATGAGTGGGTACACGAAAGGTATCAAAAATAATTTGTTCCACAAATTAACTTAATTATGCTTTGTTTCAATGTACAAAGGCACAATGGTTATAATTATATTATAATCATATTATGGTTCCATCTATGTAAGACATAAAAAATAGTAAATTAAAACCATATCATTTTTATTTTTGTACTTCGAATTGATGTAGCTCTGAACAATCTACAAATGTTACGGAAACAGTTAAGTGACAAAAACTTTACATGTGGGATTGGATTCTAAACTGTGTATTAATTAGTCCCTTAAGGCAAAACTGGAGGGACTATGGGATTTCTTTGTGACTGTTTGTCTGTCCGTCTAACTGTTCCTCTATTTGTCCCTCTCCTCTTTGGTTTTCCGGACTTTTTCCACACGATTGTAGATTTGAGGTGATTTTTGGTATGCGAGCCTAAATGTACCAAATAAAGTTTGCATTTCCTTCTGCTCCGGTCACTATGACGGCGATACGGTTTCTTAAATTATTTTAAAGGGAAACAGATTACATTAGCCGGTAGAGGACTAGTACTACTAATGCAATTCTCCCTGCATGCATATTTTTGAAAAAAGTAATATTGTCGTCATTTTTCATTTAATATCCAGTTTGAAAAATTAAAGCAATTAATTTTATTTGGTCAAATTAACATTATCAACTTGAGATATATATTTAGCACAATTAGTCATGATACATTTCTAGAAAACAGATAACACTGAACTAGAGTCAAAGCTCGAAACGTATATTATCATCCCTACTAATGATTTCAGAATCTTTTATTTTTCTGTGTTCTGCAAATAATAATATCCAAAGAGTTCGCAGTAGCTCTGGCGAGATTTAGTGAGACTACAGGGAGACTGTACTTGCTGGCAAAGAAACTAAATTTTCTGATGTCAGACTAAATTTACATGATAAATGAGGTACCAACGTGACTTAAAACCGACAAATCAGTTAAATGAGTTGAACTGCATTATGTGTCACTACGAATATTACAAGAATTTTACGCTTGGAAAAGACCAAACTCCTTGCAATCAGAAAAACAATGATACTTTTACACGCATTTCATAGATAAGAAAAAGATATCCATTATTATCTATTATTTCTATGCTCACATTTACAAACAATTGTTAATTAAACGCAGAATTCTGGGTTTTTTCAAAACCATTCTGCTATGCGATTTGCGTCTGAACTCCTTTATTGCTCTATCGATGAATACAAATGTCAGGTAGATTCTTGCAATTGGCATCAAAAAAAGTAAATGACGTAGATAAAAATATATAAAACCTTTGGAAAATCTTCATTATTCAAGTCCATGTATCATGTTAAAATTCGTTATGTTAATAGCTGCAATTGATTAATTAGTTAACAAAAATAAATTAACCATCAACCAAGTGATTTAATATGAGCTTAAAGAATATATAATCTTTCTGTCTTCATGTTACACTTACATGTACATGTATGTATCCGCCATGATTAAAGTGGATTGTTGAAAAATTCTTATATGAAATTATGAACTAAGATGCATAGCATAGCAGTTTGCTAATAGGTGATACTGACCTTCCATAAACTTTGAATAAGTGGTATTAGAGATTAAGAGTATTTTAGTGAATATAGGGAGCCTGCTCGTTGACTTATTTTCATTTCTTTGTTGTATAAAATTTTATTGTTTGAAGAATATATATCCCACTTGGTTTTCCGCATTTTTTCTTAAACGGTAATAGATAATGAGCTGATTTTTAGTGCGTGAGTGTATCTTAATGAGCTACAATTGTATTTCGTTCCACTTCAATGATTTTTTTTACAGAATTACGGCCTTTTTAATTTTTACAGGGTTTTCGGAATTTCATTAAACGTTTGCAGATATTGTGCTGATTTTTGGTATGTGAGTCTACCTTGATGAGTTAAAGATTAAGTTTGTATTGTGTTCCGCTTCATTAATTTTTATGGAATTTTTGATGGGAACCAAATTACACTTGCCGGTAGGGGATACGTATTGTTAATGCAATACTCTCAGAACGCTTGTTTAATTATGCACGTGCGCGTGTATTTTTTTTTTTTTTACATACGTCGATTTTAAGTCCACTTAAAATGAATCAGAGGAGATGCAAGTTTTTTTTTAATGACAGGTTTTTCAGCTGCAATTCAAATTTCTCTATAGATGCATCCACTGACATAGTCCTAAAAAGGGTTTTGACTTATCTGGCCATATTAATTCCATTAACTTTACTTAAAGGTCACAGTGACCTCAAGGTAACACACCTTCTACCAAAGATGTCTATACTGACCAAGTTAATGGTTCTAGGCCAAATAATTCTCCAGTTATGAGCCTAACAGAGTTTTGCCATATTTGGCAATAACATCTTAATAAAAGGAGTAACCTAATTTTAATGTGCAACACACTGTCTACACAAGATGAATCAGTTGACAAAGTTTCATGATTCTAAGCCTTACAGTATTTGACTTATAATTATAACATCTAAAAGAAAATGAATAAGTCCATAAAAGTAAAATAAAAACACCTGTTAAATGAAGTAAAATTTTCCAATCATCATGAAAATACCAGGTGCACATCTTCGTACGGTGAATAAGGTGTGTATACTATACATTTTCAGACAAATCCATACAGTAGTTTCTAAGAAAATATCCGGACAAAATCATGTCTAAAGACAGAGGTAAATTGAAACGTACAGTCCCTGAAACGTTCTACTTTCCCACTTGAACGTTGAGCAAACGCTGAGTGAACAATTAGCGAACGTTGAGTGAACGGTGTGTGAACTGTAGTGAAATTGCATATGTAAATATATTCCCTATGACCTTTCACCCTGACCTCAAAGCCACCCATCCGTGCTGGCACGCTTCCCACGTCAATCGAGTCCTACCAGATACAAACTATTCACCACATTTGTCACTTGCTTTATTGTTTGTTGCATGTTTACCCAACATGTAAACCAGTGTACCTCATTGCCACCTTATACTAAGGTAGGCGACATTATTAGTAAAATCCCCTATTTTACTACATTGGCGTCGCCGGTAATTCGGTGCGGGGGATATATTTTATTTGCAAAAATTCACGTGTGAATATTGCCACTCGTGAATAGAAACACAGGTTGAAATATTTTCTAATATTTCGCATTTAGTCAATTTGGAATTTAAGGAAACTGTTGTTAACAAGTGTTATCTTTAACGTTTGTTGAAAAGTTCGGACAATTTGACTAATTTGCCATGTTATTTTTTTCACTCGTGAGCAGTATTTACTTGTGTTGAACACGTGGTGATATCACGGTCCAATTATTTTTGTATTTTCATTTTCATTAGTAGTTAGTGTTACAATTATCGTAGGAGCGGGTTTTTTTATGAATGCTAATATAAATTTTGAATGTTAATATTGTCCGGTGCAAATCGCCATTTTTTCTCGACTCATTGAATTTTGGTCGCGCCGCAACGATTGACCTAATCTTATTTGAAAAGTTTTTGCCACTCGTGTTGACAATTTTGGAGGAGCGTTTTCTTCTCGACTCATCATTTAATTTAAATTGTTTGTGAATTTTCATACGATTTATTTTTCTCTCAGCTTCCCTAAAAATATTTTAGGGGAAAGTAGAGAGATATTGTTTTTTCATATCGTATATTTTTTGTACTTATGTTAACATCACAGAGTTAGTTCACACAAACCCGTTTACCTGTAATAGCTAAAGATCGAAGCGCACGTGCTTCTTGCTTTAACGGTAGACTGATAGGTGTGATCCCATTTCGCCTTAACTGTTACATATAGGTAAGAAAAATTTAAAAAGTACTAAGGCGAACTGGGAATTTCTTAATAATACTATTGTAAAAACAAGTCTTGAAAATTGATGAGGTGTTTTTAGAATGATTAGCTAATAACACCGTATTTGGGATTTAAAATGATTCTTCAGTCATTGTACATTTGAAAATAAAAAAAGTAGATTCAACTTAAAATGAGAATTAATTTATGCAAACAGTGAATGAAATAATATTATATTTTATATCTAAAAATTACTATTTATAAAAATAATGATTTCTATTAATGTTCTCTTTAACAATGTGCTCCTTGATTTTTATCACTATTAATAAGCATATTATGTAAAAATTAATGAATATAAAATGATAATAAATAATATTTGAAATAAACCTTTATTATGTTTTAGTCAACTCTACCTCCACAAGAGTTTCATAATATTACTAATACTGTACCTTAATTTAAGATTCATAATAATCCTTCTACACAAACAATACTTAAACTTAATCAGATGTTTATGTAAATTCCCATTTTGCCTTAATCTACCTCAGAGCTTAATAAGGCGAAATGGGAATACCAAATTTTACAGTTAAGGCGAAATGGGAACAAACCGACTGATTTTGTAGTGTAACGTTTTTACACATTTTAAGCTCTGTACAATAGTGTAAATCTACTTGCAAAAATATAGTCAATTCATATAACATTATCAATTGAATAAACAATTAATTAATTGGCCTATCTATAATTTTTAGTAACGTCATTGTTCGTTTCTACCGTCGTCTGTCATCGGGCTTTTACATAAACGTTTTAAGAGTCAGTGCGGTTATTTAAGCAAGTATAGTTAATTAACAGTTAAGAAAAAAGTTCAAGTAGTTTACAGTCATATCGTATATTTGGACAAATTGTGTTAAGGTATTCAATGTATAACGACCATATTTTGTACCTAATTAATGAATGGTCCATGGTTTTTGATTATGGTAGCAATATGAAGGTGTTATTAAATAAAAATGCTCCACCAGAGGAATTTGCCAAATTTTGATTATTGTCCAATCAATTGCATCTTGAATTTAACATTGAAGTCTATGGGTAGCGCATGTTTTTTAAAGATATTGTAAACAGTAATTTTAATTTGAATCAAATCTCTTGGT